TCTACCTACAAATCTTCTTTGGCTCGCAGCTATGGGACTGTGGGGTGAAATCCAGCCCTGGAGAAAGCCAGAGAGCGCAAGCCTAGCACCGCTCTTGTGCCAAAGACGCTGCAGGATGGAGGCTGCTGCTGAAAGATGCTCAATCGCCTGGCTTTGATATTCTGCCTGGAGGAAGCGCTGGGGGGGAGCGAGCTTTTGGGGGGAGGTCAGGTTGGCAGAGAGAGCAGGGATAGTGCCGTGTACCTGGGGGGGCACAGGGATGGGCACACGCAGGCCCTGGTCGGAAGCGCTGGGGTCCAGGAGGGGTGCGGAAAGCAAGGCAGGGTTTGAGCGTGTCGGAAGCCAAGAAGCTGCGTCCTGGTCCACGACCAGGGGAGAAGGGACCCGGGGAAGGGCTCAGAGCTGCAGCTGCACAGTGGGCAGCATGGGTGGGGGCTTCTCCACAAACAGAAAATTTGTCAAAAATAAACAAACAAAATAAGAGTTTCAAGGGACAGAAAGAATGCATGGCTTCGGGTCAAATTCAGCAAATATTTTTAGCCAGAAGAGGGAGGGTTCTAAAATACCATTTTTAAATGTTATAAGATTTTTGTTCTGCGGTTGTCTAAATGAGAATTTGTTGATTCCTTTCCAGCAAAGATGCCTCCATTTCAAAAAGCAGCACAGCCACATTGGAAGGGTTAAGCGGCTCAAACTAAAATCTGCCAGGTTCGTCAGGATCACTTTGCTTCACTGAAACCTCCAAACATCGCTGTTTCAGTTTGACTGAAACAATTTTCTTCTTCCCCATGGGTTTTTTTTGGTTCAGCCACAGAATTGAAAAATCCATTATTTTGCCCAGAGAGGTTGTAGATGCCCCATCCCTGGAAACATGCAAGGTCAGGTTGGACGGGGCTCTCAGCAACCTGATCGAGTTGAAGATGTCCCTGCTGACTGCTGGGGGTGGGACTAGATGACCTTGAAAGGTCCCTTCCAACCCAAAACATTCGATGATTCTATGATTATCAGCCTGAAATGCTGAAATGCCAACTTCTGCCACGCAGCCCCGGCCTGCAGGCCTGCCCAGCCCCTCAGTGGCCTTAAATCGCCCTGAGAGGGTATTAAATAATATGGCACCATCAGTTCTCAACATCCCCGCAGAGTATCCACAGGGAACTGGTGATGCACTGGATGTGACAGGGACACTTGTCTGCTCTGCAACAACTGCGTTATTTATTGTAATAATTGCTAGCTAGGGCTGGGTACAAATCATTTTCTTAGACATTTAATACCTCATGGCCTGTTGTCAGCTTCTGCACTGGTCTCCAGAGTGAGTGTTTTAGTGAGAAAAACTTCTCCTAAGATCTCCATCCCTACAAATTGATGACCAGCTTTCCCTTTCCACAGTGCAAACCTCCTCCCAGGAACGGCACGTGCATCCACCTGGAGCAGGAGGCTGGACAAGGTCCTTCCCTCTCGCTGCCAGAGCACTGTGGAGCATCTCGGGAATAATGATGCTGACGAGACAGCTCGAACCAAGCCTTGGCTGGAAAACCCTAGTGCAGTAGAGAAGTGTTTTGCCAGTGTAGCTTTATAACCTCCTCTATCCTCTTTTGATCTTGGCTGTACAAATCAAACCAGCCTTTCTGTACCAGTCCCTAAATCTCCTGTTGCCGAAGCGATGACCTGTCCGTTGCCCTGCACTCCCAGCAGCGAGAAAGCCCCGTCCTTTTAACAGAGTTTTACTGACTGCTCCCCTCTGAGAGCGATGGAATGGGCCCCAATGCCAAGACCAAGTTTAATCCAAACCTCACACTTCAGACCAGCCTCGGATGGGGCTGCTTGATCCCCATTTACAGCTGAAGGGGGCTGGATGTGTCCAGCTAGAGAGTGCTCATAGGAATAAAGGTGTTCGTGCAAATGGAATAAAAGATTTGGCTTAAGATGGAGTGAAAAAGCAATGCTGGGAAAGGATCCTGAAGCGAGGCAAAACTGCCCTGGGATTTCATCCCACACAGGTGTATGAACCGACCTCACGGGGAGTCGAGCAAACCTGCTAGAGACCAGGACTCTGCTAAAAAAAAAAAAAAAAAAAAAAGAGTGGAGGAAATACTTGCTATTTTGTCAGCTGGTAAAACCCCTTCCCTTGTGCAAACACGTAAACGATCCCTTCAGAGCATTTCTGATCTGCTGCTCTCGCTCAGATTCCAGCAGGGTAGAAACCAATCTCACCAGATTCAACTTCCTCAGCCACCTGCTGCAAACAGCACTTGTGGTGCACAGGAAAAGAGTTATAACCCTGCTTCAACAGCTTGCTTGTGGCGGGTGGGGTGATTAAACCGAACCTTAAAAAAATCCAACCTGCTTCCATAGCTGCTGCCGTGCCGCTAGCCCCCATCCCGAGAAAGCCCCAAACGAGCGAACGGAAGATGCACCAAAGCATTACCCGGAGCCAACGTGCGTCTCTGAGCCCAGCCGGGTGGCTGGGAAGGTAAGCAACCGCTTTCGGAGATGCTGGCAGCAATCTGAACGGCTCTGCCCCGGCTCCCGCCTGTACCGACGAGCGCTGCAGATCCGCTCTCCCTTACTCCACATCCCATGGAATTTCCACGCACCGTGCTCCGATGACACACGCTCTCACTCAGCGTACATGCATTTCCACTACCAGTTTTTATCATCTGCCCGATGACTAATTAATATTTGCCCAACGTGTGGGAGTTCTCCAGTGCAAGTTGCCACAACCTGGTGAAGGGTGAGGTTTTTTAAGTCATTTTAAGGTGAATTCATCACTCGGGCAGGGGAGATACCAGAGAGGAGCAGAATCTAGGGGAGCTGCCGCTGACACAGTTCAGCTGAGGTCTCTACACCAAATCTGCTCTGCTTTCCCACAGCCTCCAGTTGTGAGCAGTCCCCGGACCAGTCCTGGCCTCCCCAGCGGGGTCCGTCGATGTCGTATTCCCAGGGAGGGACAAGGGAGACATGAAGGAGACTGGGACTAATGGGCTCAGGTCATTTGTAATGCAAAGCCGGGGTTTTGGTGCACTTAAGCTTAAGGAACCTGCTGCACCAACTCACTGGTGAAGTCCCTGTAAATTACCTTCGATACAGTTTTCCCCGTTACACTGCCATGTCCCATGAATTAGAAGAAAACCAATTTATGTCTTTGAAACTGCACTTGGATGAAAGTCTAAACTGTAAAATCCTGAAATCCGATGTATGGATCCTTTCTCCTTCCTTCTCCTTTCAAAGTGTATGCACAGAGCTGACACCTTCTGACAGTTACTGATCTATACGCTCTCTCGTAGCAAGTACTCTGAAGGAAGAGATACACATGCAAGCACTGAAATACAGTTTCAGCATTTGTAGATGCAACAAATTGTGCCTTCAGTCCATTCATTATAGCCCTCTCAAACTGGAAGACAGCCTAGTTAGGCTCTAGTCCTAGCTGAAAATGTGAATTATGTACAAAGTCATACTCAGATTTAGGACGACTTGCAGCCTTTCTGAAGGTACTGTGACCTGAGCTCAGGAAGAGGCAAGAGCTCTTACCGAACAGCCTGCAAAACTACTTCTCTAATAGGCTGGGAAGTAGAAGAAAGCGTGGTTGCTCCCGTATTTAATTACCTGGGAGATGCCCAGACACCACAATAATGGGGGCTGTATAAATACCTACATAGATTAGCTACGACTATCCCAAGCACACTACTACATCGCTGCGTAGCCCCCCCAAGAAGTCGCTGATCCTCCCAATGCAGACAACCTCAAGAAACTGAGCTCCTGGGTATATTTGGAAGAGGCAGGATACTGAAAACCTGATCTCAGTCCTGCAGCAAGCGAGTGCAAAACCTCTGTTATTTTCATCACCAGCTGCGAGGAGCAAACCTCTTACGGCAACACTCGAGACTAGAAGTTCCTGCAGGCTAAGACAAGGAAGGTCACAGCCTGGGCTGTCAGGGAACGCGGCTACCTGCGTCTCTTACCTCAGTGGGATCTTAATGGCCAGGTACCTGTCGATGGCCACTGCCAGCAAGCTGAAAATGGAGCTTTGGGTCAGCACCAGCACGAAGCAGGCGAAGAAGAGGCAGCTGTGAAAATCCACCGGGAAGCCGATGCTGATGGTGATGGCGAAAGGGATGGCTAACAAACCCACGGCAATATCGGCCACTGCCAGGGACACCAGGAAATAGTTGGTTGGGTTCTTCAAGGTGCTGTTGATGGCCACGGCCCAGCAGACCAGGACGTTGCCAGCGATAGACAGCACAGCGATGATCAGTTCCAGCACGATGTAGGTGGTTTTCATAGTGTCCATGGCGAGAGCCCAGGGCGAGGAACCAGAGCCCGTCACGAGAAGAAGGTACTTTCCACCGGGCGCCCGTCCGCAGGTACCAACAGGCCACGGGGCAGCGCTTCCCGGAGAGAAACACCCAT